GCTCCCTAAACCTAAATTTTTACTTAGTTTATTCTTGTTGTTGGTCGTACTGTTGTTGTGTGTGTGTGTATATATATATATATATATATAAATTTTAAATTAATGGAGATATCCTATCTCCTAGAACTGGAAGGGACCTTGAAGTCCAGCCCCCTGCCTTCACTAGCAGGACCAAGTACTGATTTTTGCCCCAGATCCCTAAGTGGCCCCCTCAAAGATTGAACTCACAACCCTGGGTTTAGCAGGCCAATGCTCAAATCACTGAGATATCCCTCCCCCCCTTGTGTGTATATATTGTGTCTATATGTATATTAACCAATATCAAAGCAATATTGGTTAATCTAAACTCTCTCTCTTCTACCTAAACAATTAAACTGACATTCTTCACGTAACACTTCATCAAGGAAATCAAAGACTAACTTTTACACAGCACACTTTCCCTCTTTTTTCTCAACATGTTTACCATCCTAGTTTCCTTCCCATTACCTATTAGAAGAGCACAAACATGCATTAGTGACACACAGCTCACAATAAAGTCTGGTCTAAAATATTCAGTTTGATTACTTTCTAGTTGTGGCATGATCATTTATTCCACTGATGTTTCCCAAATTAATATCTACCATTATGACTCTGGTCTAACCCAACAATTGTCACCAGTGACCAAGTGCAGTAGATGTTTTTTCCTATGGCCTCAATGGAATATATAGTCCATTGTGATGTGAATGTGTAGTAGCAGTGGAGCAGGTAGTGAGGAGAATACTGATCTTTTTGGGGGGAATTCAAATTTTCCAGTGCAGACCAGTAACACCCCTTTCCAAGTCCTTTAGGCTGGTAACACAATCAGCTGACTATAACTGCCAATACATAAATCTTGCAGAAAAGAAGTAGGCACTGTTTTATTCCTCCTCATTGTAACTATGTCCTCTTTTTGCCTATATCATAAGGCATTGGAATTAGCAGCAAAAAATAGCATTTGACCTAGTATATTAAGACTTCTCATTTGAACAAATCTGACCTCTCGAGTGAGTTGTATGGGGACTAAGACTATGACACTTCTTAACAACAGCTAATTCTTATACATTAAATACTGCTTTTTTTACACTATGGAGAGACCACATTTTGGCTATCTGCTGTACTTGTCCAGGAAAAGGGTTCCCTAATGGTTTCCAGTGCAGAACTGACCTTTGTATTGTGTGTATTGTCTTGTCTGTAATGACCCCTGTATTTGTCTGCTTTATGAGAATGACATAGTCACCTGCCTTTGGAATTCTGAAAACTATCAATGCATTCATTCAGAAACATGTTTTCTAGCTGATGAGACAAATGATAAAATCTTTAAATTAAATTATAATTTTCACATATAACCCCCATTTTCACATACTGAAATTTGAGCACACACACACAAATCCGCCTATCTCCAAACCAGAATTGCCTTCCAAAATACTTGTCCAAAGTAATTTACCATGCCTGACACATGACCAGAAGGGAAATCTTGCTGTGAAAGGTTAATGAAAATTCCTTCAAGTATTTGAGTTAAATAAGGGTAAAAAGTATATACATTTTGTATTTTAAATCATTCTAGCCATGGAAGTACAACAGAAAGAAGATGACACATGAAAGCAAATTTTTTATGTAAACAGGGATTGGGACTCCTTTGCTAGATTAGAAAAATAATTGCTTGATTTAACAACAGAGTTGGTCAAAACTTGTAATTTCCATTCCCTAGGAAATTCTGACATTTCAAAATATCCTTTCATCCTGAATAGGAACAAGAGGTTGCATTTTGTAATTAGCTGTAAAACAGTTTTAGAAAAAATTGTTTCAGGTCAATCAAAATATTTCATTTGGATAAACTCAAATTGCTACATTTAGATTGACTTTTCATATTTTGAGTTTTTATATTTTATATTGCATTAAAATTATACAATTATAAAATAAGATTTCTAAACAAAATTTATTAAAAATAAGGTTGAAATGGAACGATTTGTTTTATCTAAATATTTTGTTTATTTTTTTTCTAAACCAAATTTCATTGAAATCAACACATTCCTAGTGAATGTTTCAATTCTGAAGACCCATCATTTTTCAACATCAATATGTTCTGTCAGAAAACCTTCAACCAGTTCTGTTTAATAAAGTGATGTCAAGTGTGAAAAATGGATTCAGTACATACACAGAAGACAATTTTGTTGTGTGGAACAGAACATAGCACTTGTACGGTACTGGGACAGGAGACAGGCTTTGCTGAACCTTCTGCCTCTTAAGTGGAACTATCCCTACATCTACCCAGCCTATTTATTCTCCCTGAAAGCTGTTGATCTGACTGTGTGATGGTCAGACAATGCCTGCAGTTCAAATACTTGGTTATCCTGGGCTTTGCACCCCTTTATAGAATAAAATAATGGAACAAATATTAGAATAAAAATAACAAATATCCATGGGACAGTAGAGTCATGAACCGTAAAACTTGGACCATAAAACTTGCCAGATAAGATTTTGGCCAATTTGTGACACTTACTCACTTGGAATAGAACCTTACATCATAAAGTAAGTTGTGCAGTAAGGGTGTCAGAATCTGGCTTTTCAAGTATGCATGGAACAAAATAAGTGTACTATATGAAATACAGTAAAACTTTTGATACTCTCTCACAAAATCCTATCTGAAAAAATAATTTAAATCGAGCTGGATAGGAACGCTGCCATGGGGCTTGTAAGCCATCTGAAAAGACAAAGGAATACACATGGAATCTGGAAAAGGGATTAAACTGTATCTTAATGACTTTCACATATGATACAAAATAACAAGGTGTTGTAAACACCAGTCAGAACAGAAAACAATGAAAACCTAGAGAGATTAGAAACATGGGCAGAGAATTCAAAAAGGAGTTTCTACTGGGAAAACTTCAAGCTAATACATCTAAAGAAAAATAATCAGTAACACTTTAAAATTGGAGAGAAAAAGCTTGGAAGCAGTAATGGTGAGAGGGTATTAGTAGGCAGCAGAATAGTCATGGTTTGGCAATGTGATATTGGTTTGTGGGGGAACAATGAAAATTTGGATTTCAGGTAAAAGGCATCATGTCACACATCAGGCAGG